CCCTCAGATTGCGAGTCGAGCGGTTTAACCACCTGGCCATGCTGGGCTACAAGGATAGAAAAAGAGGAAATTTTTGTGAAACATGCAACTGTGTTTGTTTTTTTCTTCAATTCTGTTACGATGGTTATACTTATGCATTTCGAGTAATAATTGGGAGAAGTATGTATAGGTTTTGGTAATCAAAGTAAGTTGTTACTTAGGATAGTTTAGTAGTAGAAATACACTACAGAGAGTTGTGAGAGTTTTTGTTAAACATGTTAACAAACATTATTGTAATTGCAATTTCCCTTAAATTAGCACAAAATAACAGGAACATCAATTATAAATTACTTACAAGGATAGATTGTTTGTTTGTTTGTTTGTTGAATTTCGCACAAAGCTACACGAGGGCTATAAAACCTTCTATAAACTGATAGTTTACGAGTGCTAGATTCCTGCGAAAAAGTTTAGGGATTGTTTCTGTGTAATTCTTGAATAAACTAGCTTGTACTAAATCATTATAAGGATTGTGAAATTAACTACGAGTTACACAAATTTAAACAAGAGAAGTAATGACATAAAGTACCAGGATCATTACAATATTGTTACAGTAGTCGACACACTTCCGATATAACTAAGCTTCATTTTTTATACATATTTAAAACTTAAAAGTTTTATTTTTCTTTATTATATTTTTAGTCCCTATATAAAAGAAATCTGTATAAAGCTCACACTGATCATTGAAAAAATGTATTAAAGTTCAGAGGGTAATCTAGTATTTAACAAAATAAATATTTTAATTTGATTTTTCTTGCAAATTGGAAATGTAGTAAAGTTGCGATTTTTTTTTTTCAGATGGATTATGATGACCGAAGTTATCATTTAGTTCAGAAACAAAAAGTGAAAAAACAAAGTATACTCAGTCTTGGGAAGAAGAGAAAGTTTTCAAAACCTAGTTAAAACCATCAAGAATAAATGATACTGGTTTTTGTGCATTCTCAAATATTTTGTTGTATTTGGATGCAAAAAAACATGCACATAGATCTAAGCATCTCAAAAATAAAGAAATACATTTGAAAGAGCATGGAAAACAAGAATAATGCTCAATTTTGTACTAGGTGCATATGAAAGTAAAGAAGACAAGGTGCTTTAAGAGGAAACACATGTTCTGGCACTCCAAATAGGAAATGACTTTCTATATTCCACTGTAAACAAATTGGAAAGTTTTATTAACTCTCTCTCTACATGATGATGACAAAACCTTGTCGAAAAGTTGTACATTTGCTGTTATGTTAAACTTACATTAAAGTTTTTCTTCATTACCCATTCAAGCCGTCTCTGAGCATTATGATTCCTATGTTAAGATTAAAAATACTTTTCTTCCTCTCAAATTTCATTTGCATAACCTCTAAAACCTTCTTAATAAATTTCAAACGTTTTTCTTAGGAAAACTATATATTTTATCTGTTAATTTCTCTACCCTAACTCTATACAAGGTTGGTAAAAAATCGAAATAAATCTAAATTTCTCTTTTTTTTTTTGGAATGACTTTAAATTGTAACATGAAACTACATCTGTTTATTTTAAGTAGCTTTAAACTCGTATCAGTATACATCTATCTATACTTTATTTTATAAATTTATATATTTTTAAAAATTTTATTGCTTTATTGCATATTGAGCTGTGTCTAACTACTATTTGTGCCATTATAAGTTGTAAATCACTTACCCATGAACTACTCTGAGCTGCTCACAAGCATGCCTCATGAAATTTTTTATTATATTATTATTATTTATTTTACCTAATCTAACCATAACTAACCTAAAGAGATTCCTATTTTTATATTTTAGGTACTTTTATAATAACAAATAAAGAATACACATTAAAAACAAGAAATAAAGTACTTACCCAATGTCGACTCTCGATGACATTTAATGCTGCTTTTTATAATAATAGTAGTAGTACACTGTATAATTTTTATTTAATTAAATAATGCACCAAAGAACATAGACTAATAACATGCAAAAACAGACAATTTCCCCTAACTATCACAATTTTTCTGGCTTTCTAACTATTCAACAAGAGTTGTCAAAACTTCATCTAAGCTAGTTATTATTTTTCACATGGAAACAATGCTTGAATTAACAGAGAAATTGACAATTCTCCATTCAGAAAACAATGAAATATAATATGTCATTTGATATATGAAAACCATAGCTTTCCATTGGTTATAGGTAATATATAATTAAAACTAAGACAGAACTATTAACAAATCCTGAAAGAGAGGATGGTGGGTGTGGCAGTAGGAGTCTGATTTCCCATTTGATAACTCTGTAACCAAACAAAATTAAAGGCTATAAAAATTATGGTTTGTCTGTGCAATGACGATTTTATAGCAAGTAACTTATGTATAATTTCGTATTTATTGGAGGGGTGGTGAGTAAAATATAGAAAAGTAGATGCCTAGAAGAAATGTGTCACACTAGGGGAAATTCAGGATTTTTTAAAATATTGCCTTATAAAATTAAGAACTTAAAACTTATATACTATTAAAATATGGATTATTAGCTAAGATTCTATGCTATACTAATTGGTGTAACATAAATGAAAAGTAGTTTAACCCTTTTGAGATGGGTCACAGGTGAAAAACCATATCATCTCGTTTGTTAACTCGCATTCAAAATTTTATTGAACTACTATTTCATGAATTTATGTCA